CACCACCATGTGGGGTGTTCCAATAGGATCTCTTCTCATAAATAGACATATATACATACCAGCAACGTTTGGAAAGCCTCAACAGCCAAATTCTCCATCAACTCCCTACTCTTCTCATACACCACCTCATTATGCACATCTACAAGATTAAAAATTGATGTAGATAAGGTTGCTAAAAAATCCTGTAAATTTCGGAGCTACGTACGTGTGAGGAGTAAAAATGATGATGAATTTATTGTTCACCGTTGAAAACTATGACTCTCATATAAGAGTATCTATTAATCATTCAATCATCCAAATTTGACTTTCAATATCATCAATCAATATCGATACTATACTAAAAAAAAAACCTGGTTCCATACTTTTGCTACTTGGCAAACTCCAAGGGCTCTAATAGTTAATAAACTAATAGTCTCTTTTTCCGTCATCTCGCCAAAAACTCAATCCACTCTCTCCACATCTTGAAAATCTTTATTTTTTGTTTTGCAATTTCTATAAATCATTGATTTGTTATTTTTCTTTCCAAAAAATATTAATTTTCTCCTCTCTTCTTCCCAAAAGTTCTAATATACATTCAACAAAGTTACTATTGAACTCCATGCATTGCATAGGTGACAACTAGTTTTAACCTATTTTAAGTGATTTATAGAGTCCCGTAGTTATCGGAGTTGGCTTTACTAATTTCTACATAACTTTCTTTTCCGACTTTTATTTTATTCACAATTTTCGTGTTGAGGTCATCTTCTATTTCAACCAGTTAAAATTCAAAATATTTTCTCTCTTATCTCAATATTCTAAATTCTGACATTGATTTTTTTCCAAAATACTATAATCTTTAATGATACAACTATTTCGGAGGAAAGTTATCAGGTGCGACAATTTAGAAAATTTTGAGAAGAGTTGAATTCATGTACTTAGTTAGATGGCATATCGCTGATGTGGTGCGCATCCAAACAATCACTTATGATCTAGGATTTTAATAATCTAGATTGTAATGATCTAGATGTGTACTGTTTATTGACATATTATCCAATAACACGGAGCCAGACCGGTTTACAACAATTTAGGAGATAAAATATCAAATTATGACTATTTAAGGGAATTTAAGTGTTTAAATAGTGGTTGGCGTATCCCTCCATGTAGTCGGATGGTGCATTGCGGATGTTGTGCATTTCTAAGACCTAACTTATGATCTAGAATGTTCATGACCTGAACAATAAGAGCTTAGATGTGTGCTACTTTAGCGACACACTATACATGGAGATACACAACAATCCTATCTACACAACTTTAGAAAAGGCTAAATTAACACATCGGTGTATTTTATTGATCCAAAATACTAACTTGATATATTTTCTTACTCCAAATATGATAAGCTATATAAAGTGAGACACAGTAACAAGATTATTTGTTTGGCCGGAGCAAAATCTCCAGCACTTAAACACCACGTGATTCTTCATGTGATGCTAATGTCCCTTATTACATGGCAGGTATTTGAGATCATTTATTTGAGCTAAAAAGAAATCTTTTTCAATATGGGGCTCAAAAAGGATGTCTTCTTCCTCCTAAGATTAAAATTAGATTAGGACAATTGAAATGTGGTTAGTAAATCTTTGCAATTTGGGGAAGAATCGTTCTCTCCCTTACATCATGAATAGAGTACGGAAGGAAAAGATATATGGGGAATTTTTGTGGATTCTTTCCTATAACGATTAATTTAAGATCCGACTTAAACTTCGCCACATAAGACCATCTCCAACCCATTGCACCAAAATGGTGCAAATTTTGCATCAAAATGGTGCAAAAGTCACATAAGACCATCTCCAACCCATTGCACCAAAATGGTGCAAATTTTGCATCAAAATGGTGCAAAAGTCACATCAAACAGTAATAGTGCAAATTTTGCATCAAAATGGTGCAAAAGTCACATCAAACAGTAATACATCTCCAACCCATTGCACCAATTTTTGCACCAAAAAAGAATATTCTCAGTATATTCTCACTTTATTTCATTTTATCTATTTTTATATTAATTGAGAGGTAAAAACAAATATTTAAAAAAAATTAAAAAAAGTGAACAGTAATAGGGCGGATGAACAGTGCGACGCCATATTTGGTGCACCACTGCTCATTTGCACCAAAATGGAGCAGAAAATGGGGCTAGATTGGAGAAGGAACAGTGCAACAAAAAACACTGTTTGCACCAAAATGAGGCTGGGTTGGAGATGCCCTAAGTTCAATTAAACCCACGTAAGACGCACGTACGGGAAGTGATCTTGTCAAAAATTTTGCTCTCGCCTAAAAAAAAGGGTTTTATTGTACACCGTGTCCCACTTTATGTACCTTGTCAAGGGATCCGGATCCTCTCCTC